TACTGTTTGTTTGTCTCTGTTTGCTTCTTCCTTTCTCTCTTTTCCTCTTTGTCTTTCTTTCTTTCTTTCTTGCCCTTTTACTTTTGTTTCCTTCTGCCAAAGAACAAAACCAGGAGAGAGATCTTCCTCAGCTTGCCCCTGATGACTGTGTATGTTATCTGTCTGCAGGTAATTTTGCTGCTGGCCACCAGGGCTGGATGAATGTTGTAATCTGCTTCCGGTAAAGTGCTAACACTGACCTTGCCCTCACACTGTGTCCATTATCTGCATGGGTCTGACACCGCTCCAGCTGCCTATGTCGCTCAGTTAAGTGGTCTGCATGCAACTGCTCTGTGACACGACTTTTAATAATCGGACTGCATTTTATTAACAGCTATCCTGAAGGGATAAAATCTGCCAGCATTCCCTCCACTGCTTTAATCTAGCAGCCACCTTCCACAGCCATGTGCAATTAGTTTCAGTACTCTTGCTAGTGAGTGTGCTTCTGTCAGCTATATTGGCAGCTGAGGGCACAGAGGAGATTTACTAGAAAGGCACTGCCAATGAAAAGTCTGAGGTTAGAGAACTGGTGCTGGTGCTCTTACAGCAGAGAAAATTAAGGAAAGATTTATTGTAAGTGTTCAAAATCATGAAAGATTTTGATAGCGTGCATTAGGAGCAACTGTTTTCAGTGGATGATGGTTTGGTAACGAAAGGATACAGATGTAAGCTAATCGGCAAAAGAACTAGGAGCAATATGAGGATATTTATTGCTACAAGATGTGATGATCTGGAATGGACTACCTGAAAGGTTGCTGGAACCAGATTCATAAGAATAAGAGTAAGCAATTTAGCCCCTGGCATCTGTTCGGCTGTTCAATTAGATTATGGCTGATCTGTGATTTAACTCAATATATTAGACCCCTTTTGCGAACAAAAATCTATCAAATCCATTTTAAAATTAACAATTGATTGAGCATGTGGAAGAGTGTTCCAAATTGTACTTGTTTTGGAGAAATAAGTATATCAGTCAATACTTGAAGGGGGAACAATTTGCAAGGTTCCAAGGAAAGAGCAGAGAAATGTGACAAATTCAATAGATTCAAAGTGAAGGGAGGATTTCTCTTACTAAAGTGTGCTTCAGAACTTCAGCACATGCCAAAGTAGTTTACTGTCAATGAAGTCAGAAGCTAAGAATCCTGCAGTGAATAACTCACCTCCTGACTCCCCAAAGCCTGGCCACCAGCTGCAAGGCACATGTCAGGAGTGTGATGAAATACTCCTCACTTGCCTGGATAGCTGCAGCAACACTGGAGAAGCTTGTTACCATCCAGGTCAGAGCAGCCTGCTTAATTGGCGCCACATCCACAAATATTCAGTCCACCCACAACCGGTGCTCAGTAACAGCAGTGTGTAGTATCTCTGCAAGATTGAACAAGATGGTACACTGCAGAAATTCTTCAAGGTTTCTTAGCCAGTACCTTCCAAGTCGATGACCACTACCAAGGATGGGTACACCACCATTTGCAAGTTCCTCTCCAAGCCACTTATTTTCCCCTCCCTTGAATAATATTGCCATTCCTTCACTGTCGCTGTGCTAAAATCCTGGATCACTGTCCTTAACAGCACTGTTCGTCTACCTAAGCCAGATGGACAGCAATGGTTCAAGAAGGCAGCTCAACATCACCTTCTTGGGGGCAATTAGGAATAGGCAATAAATGTTGGCCCAGCCAGCAAAACCCACATCCACTCAATAAAACAAAATTACTTCTAGCCATTATTGTGATGGAGGGAAATGAGGGAAAAGACAGCATTTCTGACAGAGGTGCATTCCTTCATAACTGAATTGAAGTGTCAGTTTAGTCTCTGGAGTGAGATTTGCACCAACGAACATTTAACTCCAAGGTGAGAATGGTTCAGTTACTGACTATTGCATCAGCTCTTAAAATAACAGATTCTGTAGTTCTTTCCATCTGTCAAACCCCGCCCCCCCATTCTCCTTGGAGACCCTCTTTGAAACCCACCTGTTTAATGAAGCTTTTGGTCACCTGACCTAACATCCCTGAGGGATTTGGTATCCATTTCTGCCTATTTGTTTCCTTTTGAAAGATATTTTTCAGTTTTAATTGTACTGAATAAATGCTATTGTCAAAGTGTGAACAATTTCATGTAGTGATAGAGGAATTTAAGAATTAAAAGTTTAGAAGGAGTTTGCATTTATATAGTACCTTTCACAATCTCAGGGCATCAATATGATGCTTCAGCAAATTATTTGCTTTCTATTGGAATGCAGTCACTGTTATAGTGTAGGTAACAGAGCAAGCAACTTTCACACAGTGAACTCCCACAAACAGCAATGTGATGACTTGTTATTAGTGATATTGGTTGAGTAAAAATATTGCCCTGGAAACCAGGGAGCACTCCCTGTTGTTCTATTACATAGTGCTGTGGGCTTGTTTCTGTTAATTACAGGACAGATAGGGTTCCAGTTTAATGTTTAATGGAACGACGGCACGTACTGGATTATGTGCTGAAATGTCTGGAGTCTAACCTGAGCACACAACCTGCTGCTGCAGATGCACATATTGCCAAACAAGCCAAGGCTGAAACATTAATGTCTTGCTTGTTAACTGTGGAGCTAGCTGGGTGATAAAATTCTGTTCATGTCCTGAACCTTTGCGTGACCCCAGAGAGTTCATACAACACATTGATAGACTGTCCTGTTGGTGCAGCGGAGGCTGCTCCCCTGAGCTTGGTGCTGCGTAGAAGAAGGTCTTACTCTAAGCTTTGTCCTGCTGAATGCCGGCTGGAAGTGCTTGACAGTACTGCCCCATCTCTTCTCCCTCGAGCCCAACATCGCTTCTTCTTGACCAACAGGAAATATATGTTCACAAAAAGAGAAATATCATCAAACAATAAAACAGTTGATTTTCAATGCTGATCAAAATCTCTGGCCTGTGAGCTGAAAATGAGTCCAGGCAGAAGCTTTATTCCTAACTGCTGCCTTCTGTGTCTGTGGTTGGTTCTCATCAGCATAACCCTCTCTAAGTGCATATATTAATGTACTTTGGAAAGATTAAAATGCTAATGGTGCACACAGGCAGCCGCATAATGACAAAGCAGTGAACACAGTGATGTGTTTCCTGCTATCAGCTTTCAAGGAGCAGGGAAGCAGATGATTAGAAATCAAACTCGGCCAATCTGTGATATTGTAACAGCCAGGCTTGCCAACAGAAAAGGCATCTGCTATTTCCATGTTATTCTCCAGTAATGGATACAAGCCTTTGTCTTTTATATTTTTCAAGGCACTTGCAAAAATTGCAAACCCTGTCGAAATTACAGAAAATAAACAGATACTGGTGGACTGTTGTATATTATTGAGAATAACAGATATAGCATGTCCTGTACATTGTAGATAATAGCAGAGACTGCAGTTCCCTGTGTACGGTATAGTGAACAGCTCAGACTGCAGCTCTGTTTGAGCCACAGTTCCATTAGTAGCAGTATTTCCACTGAGTTGCAAACTGCTAGGTTCAACGACAGTATAAACATTTGAGGATAAAAATTGTCTAACTCTACAGTGCACTATTGAGGGTGTAGTGCACATGTTGCAACTCTTGTCTTTCAAGTGATTGTTAAATAAACCACAGCCCTGTCTCCTCCCTAAGGTGAATGTAAAAATCTCCATGGCACTATTTTGAAGAAATACAGAGGTGCTATCGCTGGTGTCCTGGCAGATAGTTACCCCTCAGTCAACGCAATAAAAATAGTTTATCTGGTCATTATCACTTTGCTGTCCCTGGTGCATGCTGTGTGCAAATTGCCTGTCACATTTTCTCAATTGCAACAGTGACAATACTTCAAAAGTATTTCATTGGCTGTCAAACACTTTAAGTTGTCTGCTGGTTGTGACAGGTAGTATATAAATGCATTTCTGTCTTTATTATAATGGATTGTAGGGATTGAAGATCTGTGTATATAATTGGGAGACTGCAGGCCCTTTCATGTATAATAGACAATAATAGTGACTGCAGATCCTGCATAATTATAGGGTATAACAGAAATTGCAAGTCCCTATATGTGTAATGGAACAGTAGAGACTGCAGACTCCGTCACAAAGTTTAGCAAAGACTTGGGTATATCAGAGCAGCAAAGATTGCAGATCTTGCTATATAATAGATTATCAGATATGAACGAATCTTGTGTAAAGAGATCACAAGAGATTATCAGAGACTGGATTACTGTATACATCAGAGATTAACAAAGACAGAAAAGCATTAATATATATTATATATATATATATTATCACAGAGACTGCAGACCTCTTTTTAAAGCAAAAATTTTCCCGAATGTATACTTTATTCATATCATCTGGAAAAGAGTATTATATAAAGTTTCGATTTGGCATTACACAAAATACAATAAAGATCAGTTTCTTTTGATACCGTACCATGAGGTATCTCACCACACCTGCCATTCCAGGTTATATTTACACTTTACATTTACATTTTATGCCAAAAGTATCTGAAAATGGTCTCTCTTTGCAAGGACACAATGTACAAGTGTTTAATATCCAGAAAAAGGCTGCTGTCCATTGCAGTACAAGAGTGGGGCCATGGACCAGACCTGTACTATGTAGTGCCTGACTACTGATGATCTGGTTCCTATAGCAATAGAAAAGGGACCATTGCTCCTATCTGCCCAGTTGTTTTCTTTCACTGTGGTTATACATTTCAATGTTTTGGTGCACACCAGAACATACTCCTAGTGTCTCCAGGTGAAGGAGACAAAGGATTGGATGCCCTAGCTCCCACTAAAGAATATGTCCTTGTTATTAACAGAGTGTGCAGGTGTATTGTACAGAATATTTCAAATCCGAAGCATGACTGAATTGAGAACTCTTTATAGCTGTTTTAGAGCAATTACCGCATCAACGACTGTCAGAGGTGGTTTTGTAATCTTTTATCAGCAGAAGATGGCCAGTGTATTTATTGTTCTGTATGATTCTTGTTCATTCACAGGGACCAGTGACACAAGTTAAAAGGCCATGCAGTCCTTCCGAGATCCTGGGGCTTTCCAAAGCAACCAGCAAACCTTCCAGCAAGTCCGGGCTGACTCATCTCGGTTAGACAGCTATAGGCAACAGAACCCGGTCGCTCAAAGCTACGAGGCCCATGGGATCACATCAAAGGAGTATTACAACCAGCAGTCTTACCAAGGCTACGGCAGCAACACCGCGGGCACTTATTACAGTGGCGTGAAACAAGCGTCTGCTCAGCAGCCGCAGGCTCGGGCTCTGAGCGCGGCATCAAGCTACCAGAGTGGAGCATACTCGAGGCAGTATCAGAACGAAGGCCAAACTCCGAAATGGGGTTCCCAAGGCTCTTCAGTGGGCGGGCTCTCTCAGTACGGCCAGGACTCTGCCTTTAAAAGCTCTGCCCCCTCCACGGCTGCTGCCTACCAACAGCAGCACATGCAAGGCAACACCGGCAGGACCCCCCCTGCTCTGTCCACCCAACAGAGCCACTTCATGCACCAGGCCCACCACAAGTCCATCATGGGCCAGGCCTCCCCTTACATTGCCAGGCCAGCCCAATTCAACCAGACCTTTCAGTCCTCTCCCAGCTCCTATCCCACCGTCCAGGATTACAGCCAACCCTCCCGGTCGTATGAGGGCTATGGCCAAGTGCCGGCAAGTTCCCAGTATGAGAGGCAGAGTGCAGCCACACCGGACTTCCCCAGCCAGGCTGGCTACGCTTACAAAGCTGGCATGGCCAAGAGTGGGGGCTATGAGCAGAACAAGGCCGCTCAGGTCAAACAGCATAGCCTCCAATATCACAACCAAGCAAAGTTGCACCTTCTCAATCAGTCACCTCAAGTGTACTATCAGCCAGATGCTCCGGTCAAATCTCCCGAGCAGTTCTATCAAACCTTCAGCCCCACCTCGAGTCACTCTCCCGTCTCCACGGTGGTAAGATCACCTTCATATAGCTCAACTCCCTCCCCATTAATGGCCACTCCTGAGTCCCTGCAATACGGCCAGGCCACCGAAGCTGACATCAAGTCCAATGTTTCTCATCTGATGGCCCCCGCTGTCACTTGTACCACACAGAGTTCCAGCAAGACCCCAGGGCCAAGTTGCAAGGAAAAGCTTCCGGAGAAGTTACTGTCGGATGGAGCTTTCAGCAGCCTCATTGCCCTGAGCTCTCAGGTGGAAAACATTCCCAGGACTGTGCAGCAGCTCTTACTTTCAAACACCCTCGCCCCTCACAGGAAAATGGGCAAACGCCTGCCGAAAAAGTCGGAAATCCTAAAGGAGCTGAAGAGCTCCGAAGAGAGCCTGTATTCTGAAGAAGCCCTGGGCACACCTCAGTCAGTGCAAGCTGAGCTGCAGGAGGGGGAGTATTCCAGCAGCTCCGAGGAGCAGCTGGACAAAATGCCCTTCTTCCAAGGCCACTGCAGGAACTCTGCTAACCTGGACGCTTTGAGGAAGAATCTGGATACCATCCTGTCCTGCTCGGTTGCCTCATCTAATGACATGGCCACAGACTCTAAGCTGGACAACTCTGCCCAGAGTAGCGAAGCTTGCCTAGCATCGGCAGACTTTGAGAAGTTGGCTGCCGATAGACAAGCTCTCCTGTTCACCAAGGAGGATATGAAATCGTCCAGTGTTATCATTCTAAAGGACTCTTCCAAGGAGAGGCTGGAGACAGAACTGAAGTTTAACCATTTTGGAGGGGACAAGGAAAGTAAAGGGACACATTTCAACCTGTACAGCGCTGAGAACTTTGCAGGCCACTTAATCCGTGCCAAACGTCCCGGCCAAGGCCAGGCCCTTGTCTCCGATTGCAACAAGAGCACAGTGAAGAGTGACTGCTCAATGCTGACAGAGGGTTTTGGTGACGTCTCTTACAGCGAATCCCAGGCTTTTCCACACACCATAGAGTGCCCCAACACAATCCAGCCTTTAGCAGGCGATTACAGAGAGAGCCTGGTGTCTAACAGCAACCATGAGTGCTACTCCTCACAGATTCCCGGAGCCCCTCAGGATTTGGAGAAGATGAAGTCACTCGATTTGCCCGATCCGAAAGGGAAAGAGACCCCTCTGGGGTGGGAGGAGCTCGATGCCAACTTGTCACAGTGTGACCTTCAGAAGAAATACCTTCAGAAACTCCAGGCCAACTACAAACAGGAACCGAGAACGTTACAGAAGGATTCGGCTCCTGTACACTTGGTCCAAGAGAGGGAAGACCAGAGAGAAGGGAACGAGGAGGAGAAGCCAGAGAATGGTGGGAGCAGCAACTCTGAGCTAAGACTGCCCACCATTGAGCAGATTGAGAGCACACGGATGAAGGTGGAAGAAGATGAGGAGCTCGCAGTGGAATCGAAAGGAAGTGCGGTTTTACAGGATATAAGGAAATCTGTTATTTGTGATGTGTCCCCCACACGTCAGAGTGTTAAGGAACTGGTCCCTGCACATTCCGAAGGGGAATGTAGCTGCTCAGAGGACAAGCTGAACAGCACCGAGAGAGAACAGGATAGAGCAGCTTCCAGTCCCACCCCTCGCTTACTGCCACACTCCGTTATCCACGTGGGACCTGCAATAGGTGCCGAGCCCAAGGTCGGACAAGGGGACCTTTCAGGAGCCGAGATGAAGCCGGATGGTGAAAGTGGCAAGCGCAAAGACACTGAGGAGGGCATGGTCCCCGAACCACAGGCAGTCCCCCAGCCTCTGGGTTTCCCAACACTTCCGTCCGAGGTAATCAGCTCGGCGCTGACCGAAATAGAGAATGCTCCCACGAAGGTGCCGGAGAGCAAAGGGCTGAGAGTCCGGAGAATGTCGTCCAGACCGGGGCAAGGAGCAGCTTTTAGGGGCAAAGATCACTCCCCGCCCGAACCAGCAGAGAATATCCAGCCCGTCAAGGTAGCGCCAGCCGGCAAACTGAAATGTTTAGGGTCACAGCGAGAGCGAGCTAAAAACAGAGGGTCCCAAGAAGGTCTCAGTGTCTCCGAGCCGACTCGGATGTGCACTCGCTCTTCCAGTGCTTTACTGGAGCCCGAGCTGAGTGTCCAGTCCCGGGCTCTCTTGAGGAAGGGGATGGTCAGTCAGAGGGACGATGGTCTGAGGGAAATGGGCTGCAGCTCACGGCACAGGGTGAACTCTGACTCAGACAAGTGTTTGATCCAAAGACAAGGAGGTTCCAATCCAAATTTGAGAGCACACCTGACCAGACCCAGCAGCATGTTGAACAAACCCAGTTACGGTCTTCATCCAGAGCAACAGATAAAGAGCCAAGAGCGCTTGAGCCAAGAAGCTAGTTCATATAAATCGGTCGTACTGAGAGCCAGAACTAGGGCCCAGGGAATGGTTTTGCAAAAAGATGTCAAACAACGCAAGAGCTGTAATCTTGTCCCCAGTCGATGCTTGACCACCAGAAATAGTTCTTCAGTGCCCAAACCTCAAAGACAACTGACCCCCAGACAAGAGGCGCTGGACTATGTATCAGAGGAGATGACAGGTGAAAGATTAAAAGCACGAAATTCAGCTTTAAGGCTAGGGGGGCAGGAAGACCAAAGATGTCCCTTAACACACCCTTTGAAAAGAAAAGGTTACTGCTCCCTTTCACTGATCCCGGCTAAACGGCAGCATCAAATGTTGAAGGCCAACGACATGAGGACAGAGAAACCAAAACCATTGGCCAGCCCATGTCCATCAGAGAGCAGTCACCCAACAGCTCAGTTTGAGATGGCCGAACCCGTCCAAGGAGAGAGCAGTGAAGGGACAACTGAACGTTGTCTCAGTAAAGAGCTAACAGCCACTGATGGCAGTGCTCAGCCTGTTCTCTCCCTCAAGACCCCTCCGAAGACAAAGATTCTTCCACCTCGCAAAGGTAGAGGCCTAAAACTGGAGGCAATTGTGCAGAAGATCACTTCCCCAAACTCCAAATCATTCGCCTGCAGCAACTATTCAGATAGTAACGTGACATGTTTGACCCTGGACGAGATCCTGTCCCTGAAAGAAGAGAAACTCGCTGAGAACTCCAGCAGTGAGGTAGAACAGGCACTGATTGAGCAAAGCAAAGTGACGGCCAAAGATGCTTCTTCAAAGATTGCCCTGGTAGAGTTGAATAAAAAATGCCTCATCGCATCCAAGAGACTCAAAGAGGAAACAGAGTCACAAACTGAGGAGAACAGCAGTAGTCAAGTGAAGGCTGATGGAAATCTATCTGTAGGGCCAGAATGTGTGGAGGCAGAGGACAGGCAAAGTGGGAAGCTTTCTCCAAAGGATAGAATCACGGAAGAGAAAGAGGGGAAACAGCTTACCTCCCCTTCTTCTATTTTGTCTTCTGTTTCAGATCCAGGTCCCAATGAAGAGGTGGAGCACCCTCGGGGTGTCATGGAGCTGAAGAGGCAAGCCCCCCCTCCAAAGAGGCGCAGTCACCAGGCAGCAAGTCAAAAGGTCAAACAAGCCAAGAGTAATTCTAAACCCAGAAGGCCTGCTGGACGAGGTGGCAGAAGAAGAAGAAAGCACCTTAAAGGGAGCAAGAGTACAAAAGCTGCTCACAGGCGAAAAAGTCAACTGAAGAGAAGAAACCTCCCCCTTGTGGAAACCAAAGAACCAGTGATACGATTAAAATACGTGTCATATAAGATGCCAAGAGCAGAGAACAATGCCAAGAGCTTTTCTCCTTATATTCGTGTTGAGAAGAGCAATGAGGTATCATCTATCTGTACAGTCATTAACACCTTACCAGAGGAACAGTCAAGGTTCCAAAAAATGAAGAAAAAATCTTCATTCTCACAGCCCCCTGTATCAGTTAGCAAGACATTGCCAACATCTTCAGCTATGTTACCAGGGCCTGTGGTGCTAGATTCCGTCAGGCAAGGCTGCCTGGTCTGTTGCTTATGTGGAAGACCCAAGAATCACAAGGAGCTCGGAGACCTCTTTGGACCCTACTACCCAGAGGATTATATACCACCCATCACAAAGAACCAGCATGTCAAGGGGAAGTTGGAGATAAAGAGTGAAATCAAAGAGAGGCGAGATGGGGTTTCCGCGGAATCAAAGGGAGCTGACTCGGACAATGAGAGCACTGTCAGTATTACAGCCGAGGTCCCACCAAGTTTGGAGAAGGCTCCATTCAGTCTGGAGAAGGCAACCGAGGTGGAAGATCAGAATCCGCTTAGGACTAGCTCAAGAGAAAAGTGCAAAAAGCTGAGTTGCTACTGCTGTGAGAAAACGGCCGAAGATACGGAGCCGAAGAAAATGAAGAAGAAGCCGGGCTTGGAGGAGGAGCTGCAGGCCCCTGAGCTGCCCCTTGACCCCCACGAGCACTGGTTACACGGAGCCTGTGCTGTGTGGACCAGCGGAGTGTACCTGGCTGCTGGGAAGCTGTACGGTTTGCAGGAGGCTGTGGAGATGGCCAGTGAGATGGTGAGATATCAAACTCTGATCGTTAGGGGGCTAGGAAATGCTGCCTGCTGAAGCACCACAGAAATGAACTTGCTGCAAAGAGACCATAAAAACATTGTGCATGTGTCCCAGGCATAGAGAGATTCAGTCACGATGGAACTATTAAGTTTTTTTTTTAAAGGGTAAAGTAGGTCAGAGCAATGTCCCTTTACCTTCTTAGATGCGAGTTTAGAGTAAGAGGGTTGCAAATCCCCACATTGGCCTTTGATGGGAAAGTGGGGCGTTCCTAAGGAATGGCCGACTGGAATCACAGTGCATTCCCTATCAATCTGACCACAGCAGCACAAGTGAAGGTAATTCTCCATTCCCCAGACAGATATTAGACCGTGAGGCAGCTTCACTGGATAATTCGGGTCCCTGTAACTGGTGGCATGGAGACTGGGGAGAAACATAGATGATAGCAGCAGGAGTAGGTCACTCTGCCCTTTGAGCCTGCTCCACCATTCAGTGTGATCATGGCTGATCGTCCAACTCAGTACCCTGTTCCCATAGCCTTGGATCCCTTTAGCTCTAAGAACTATATCTAACTACTTCTTCAGGACATTCAGGGCTTTGGCCTTAAGCACTTTCTATGCCAGAGAATCCCACAGGCTCACCACTGTCTGGGCGATATCACTTCTCCTGATCTCAGTCCTATATGGCCTACCTCATACCTTTAGACTGTGATGCTTGGTTCTGGACTTGCCCGTCATTGGGAACACCCTTCCTATGTTTACCCTGTCTAGTTCTGTTAGAATTTTACAAGTTTCTATGAGATCCTCCCTTATTATTCCAGAAGGGTTAAGTACAGTCAGGCACTGGAAATGAACTGCTTATGTTCCTCAGCAGAACAGTCTCATTATAAGGACTTCAAAACAAAGATTGTGAGGAAACACCGAAAAGAAGTTTTAAGGAGCGTCTTAAATACACTTGAGAGATTTTAAAATAAATTAAAGGTTATCAGGATGCAGCAGGGGACTGAGACTTAATGAATAGTTCTTTCAAAAGCACAGTGGACCAAATGGCCTTCTGTGCTGTACAATCCAGAGTCAAATCATTTAGAAGATTTAGAATCAAGTGGATAGTTTTCTCTTTCCTCCCTAACCCTTGTAGCAAGATCACCACCCCTCCGCCCACCTCCAGTGCCCCACCAGTTTGTCCTCAATAAATCTTGTACTCTATTTTAAGCTCCTGCTACCAACTGGGTGTGCAGAGGTAATCTTTCTCTATCCAAGTTCATTAAGTCCTAACAGTTCCTCAGTTTCAGGGATGACAGTCTTCTATTCTCTTCATCTTGCCTTGAAAATGCACGTTTTGGTTCTACTTCAGATTGTTGTGTGCTATAAGAGGAAATGACACCACTTGGTTCATTGTGTCCACTCCCGACTCTTTTAAAAGGCCTAACCAATTACTTTCCTAGCGGCCCTGAAAATTTCCCCTTTCAAACGGTTGCGTGATTGAAGATTACTTCTTAAATTTCCAATTTATTTGGATTTTTCTTTGCAGTCCCCTCCTCAGAAATAGTGTTACTATTTCCTGCAGAGGAAAGCTAGTTTAATTCTCAATCATTTCTAGGAAGGTCAATCCCAATTTTTTTTATGAATAGACATCAACTTTAAATCATCTAACTTTTTTGTTGATTAAGTATTGGTGGTGAGAGGAAGGGGGCGGGGAATGCTATTCCTGATCATAGAAGGGTATGAAATATCTTGTGGCATCTGGTGTCAGTAAAGCAGTACAAATAATTTTTTCTCTAGCACCCGTGCTGTGGGAGTTTGATCAAGCCACTATGGATTATTTTCCTGCTGAGTGGTAATTGTATCTTTATGTTCCATCACTGCGTTTGAAGATGTTTTTCTCCCAGAGTGAGAATCCCAGTCAGTATCACACTGGTACTCTACGCTATTGAAATGACTAGTAATCTACTCCTGTCACACTAGATGAGCCAAAAATAATTATCTTTGCAAACAAGGTCCTGAGAGTTGGAGCAAAAAAATTAATTTGGTCTATTTTGTGTAGTAAAGAGGCCTCAGGTTCTTCAGAAGTGTAATCGACAGCAATTAGATGCAGAGCAAAATGATTAAAGGTGGGTCGTGGGACAGTAACAACTGTATGAACTTTAATATCCTGAAACGACCCAAAGTGCTTCACGGGAGCAAGTTTCTAACTGAGTCTAACACATTGAGATATGCAAGGAGACATGGCGTGGGTTTTAAGAAGCTTCTTAAAGGAGAATTGGGGGATAGTGAGGGAGGGGTGCAGAAAGTTTTGGGAAAGAAATTCCTTGCTTGGTCTGGTGGGATGAAGAGAATGGGGTCTGCACAAAAGGCCGAGCCAGAGAGACAAGGCATTCTTGAAGGGTTAATTTCATTTTAAAATGTTGTTACTCTGGGTGGTCAATTTTGTTGAATGTGCAGCTCCTTGCAATCTTTCTGAGGGGCCAAACACGCATGTTTTTATTCACAGGATGCTCCTCTGGTGCAAGTGTATAGAACTGGTATAGAAGTGTATAGAGCTCTGGTTTTAGAGCTCAGGACAAAGCTATTAACTTGTTTGTTGTCTCATTTTTGGAAAGTGAAATTTAGGTCCATTTGCTTCTTTTAAAAAACAATTGTGCAGTGTTTATTTTTTCTTCACAGAAATGTTCCACGTGCGAGCAGGTGGGTGCCACTCTGGGCTGCTACACCAAGGGGTGCAATCAGAAATATCATTATATCTGTGCCATTGAGTCAGGTAAGGAGGACACCATCTCTCAGTAATTGTCAAAACTATCCCTCCCTCTGTTTAACTCAGCTGTAGTCAATAAACATTGACACAAATTTAAGACTTAAATCTCCTTCAATTCTGTACCCAAAGAAAGGTTCAACAGTGCCACAATCTCTACATACCACTAATGCACCCTGAATGCACCCAGAGGGGATTGAACCTGATGCTGTTGACCCGAATCTGACCCAGTGGCTGTTCACCAAGGTCTGAGTTGTAGCAATGTGAATTCTCACAAGTTTGTTGTCGTCTGAAGCTATAATCAGTGCTGATAGAGATTCCACTTTTTTTCTGTCATGTGGCTGACCAGGAATTTCCCTGATTCTACCTGAATTTCACACGCTTTGGAAGGATTTGCAAGTTGAAGCTTGCCCAACTTTATAAATGCATTTTCCTTCACCATCAAATCCTGGGGTAGGACACAAACCTAGAGCTTCTCATTTAGAGGTGGTGCACTACCCACTGTACAAGATTTCCATTTAACTCCAGTGACTGAATTTTCTGTAGGGAATTGATGTATACTTGAAAAGGGAAATCATTGCCAAGCTCTAAGGAAGGTAATGTTGGGTGAGTTGGGATTAACTGGATACTTTTGCCAACGAACTGGTAGAGGCATGATGAGCTGAATGGCTTCATCTAAAATTAAAAACCTAAACCTGCAAATACAACTAACTTCGTTCACATCGAGGTCCACCCAGATTTTTTTTCCCCATGAGCCACATACCTGTATTCTATGCCTTGTTAACCTCAGCACTGATATTTTCTGTGCATCTTCAGGACCATACAATGTCATAATAGAAACAAATATTCAGCACACCTGGTAATACCAAAGTAAAGAAATTGCAATGATATAGGACAAGTAATAAAACAGCACATAACCTTAGGATGTGTCAAAGTATTTTACAGCCACTAAAGTACTTTTTTGCAGTGTAATAATCATTGTAATGTGGAAAGTACAACAGCCAGTTATCCCACAAATTGATGCTTCCACAAAAAGGGATTGTGCTGGTTGGGAGGATGCTATTGGCTGGGACTAATGTTCCCATCAAGCTGTACACATGACCATGCAGCAACCTGGAGGATGCTATATTTATATATGTGGCCATGCAAAAGATTCAAAGGGGTCATGTATTGATTAAAAAACCTGCTCATGGAGACCAAAATTTTAAAGTAACATTAGCTGTGACATTGGAGCACTATCCTGTTTCTTTTTCTTAAATAGCAATTTGGGATCTTCCGGGTCCACATGACTGGGCAGATGAAGCTTTGATTCAATGTCTCATCTGAAGGACAACATCATTGATAATATTGTATTCTCTCTGGGTCTTGTTTCTGTGCTGAACTGCCTAGAGTGGAGTTTGAATGGACGATCTTCTGACTCCGAGCCACAGTTGGCACTTTATCCGAAAGCAATGTTGTACCTCTTCTTGCCTTTTTGTAAATGCTGTTGAGCCTGCACTAATTATTGTTCTTGTTTTTGCTTTCACTCATCCCTACTCCCCACAGGCTGCCAATTAAGTGAAGAGAATTTTTCAATGAAATGTACAAAACATAAGGTAGGAAAGAAATGAATTTAGGGAGCTGCACTTTGAAAGTATCAGTTTCCTTTTAGCTTTTTCTTTTCAAAGTGAAAATTAAAATATAAACAAAAGGCAACCTTGTATCACTGAACTGCTGAGTATTAAGTAAACCTAATGTTCAAATTGTTATTCTACATTTAATGCTTTGGTACAGAGGCAAACAGGCAAAGTTCACCAGTGGGTGGATTTTTATATACTATAGATAGAATTTGTGTGCAATCACTTGGTGTGCTTGTTCATTTTAATCAAAGGTTTGGAACTGTAACGAGCATCAGAGATAATAAAGCTGAATGTTTTCATTGTTGAGATCAACAATTCACTGTGCCAGAGCAGAAGCTGCAGGATTCCTTCTAACTGCTCCCAGCCTTGTTTATGTTCCATATGTGAGCTGACATTGTATTAACAGTGAGCAGCCCCTCACAGAATTGTGACTGGTATACCTATGGCTGGAGATCCATTTACATTGAGGGCAGACTGTTGACTGGAACATCATACATGTGTCTTTCGATCTTGGGAACTCTGCAAAGCAACTGCTGTTGTATTTTAGAGAAATGCAGATGCTAATTTGCATAGAGCAAGATCCCAGAACAGCAATGAACAGATACAATGTTTGCTTGTTATTTGAGTTAAGTGTTGGCCATGTCATTGGGAGAACTTTCCTGCTCTTGTTTTAGCAGCATTATGAGATTTATTCAGACTGTTATTGCCATTCATTCATGCATAAAACTGTCAAGTAAATTAGATGCCAGAAGCTACATTCTTACAGACGGCTCGACTAGGTGTTTACATTAGCATTATGCTAATTGTCAGGGAAATTCAAAATGATCCATTTACGAAATTAATTCTGTTTCCTATTGAAATCTAATATCTTGATAGTTTATAAAATAATACAAGGCCTGTAAACACTTCATTAACGTTATATCATTTTAGTATACAGTGCACTGTTTGCCTATATATATAGCCAACTTCACCACTAGATGGAGCATTGTACTGGCCTGTGCATAATTGGAACAACACTGATTATTGAGGATATCAATAATGTCTTATCACATCCACAGCTTAATGGTGACGCAGCATCGCCTAACCATTTCCTTATTAGAGTAAACAAATGGAAAAAGTTGTGTTGCTATCAGATCTGAACCAACGTGATCACTTGGGGTGAACAGTATAAACACTCAAATCATGATCTGACATGGGGGATGACCAAACTAATCTGGTCTGGATAACTGATGGGATCAGATGATTTCAGTTAAATTTAGAATTTTGCTAAAAAGCATTTTGTTCTTTCCCACTAATGGCATGACCTCATGGATGCAACTTCATATGCATAGAGGGATGATGGTGGCAATTTTTATTGCTGACGCCCTAACTCCTGCACGGAAACAAACACTCCCGTTTTGTTCCTTTATGTAGAATACAATAGCGAGGTACCATTCTCCTGTACAATTTAAACAACACCATAGACTGAAATATTCCTCTAGTTATTAATCTTTCATATATTATAACTGACTTTTTTTTACTCTCTTTTTAGAGCATATTGTCTAAAACACTATAACAGCAGGAAAGTTCCACTGTGCCAAGCAACAGTAACACGTAAGGTGTTAAATACAGACTGCAAACCGAGAACAGTCAATGAATGTATTGTAAAATAGTGCAGTAAAAGGAATGGAAAGATACCAAGATATCTGGAAAACGATGAGGACACCAACAGATTGACTCTGTTCCAGTCAATGTATTTTCTCCCCCATCGTATCCTTGCTGCATTTTTTTCCTGGGGGCTGGTTTGGTGGGGGGGGGTGGGTAAATATTAATAGGTTCTGCGTTTTTTCTGAACTGCAAGACGCCTGTGTAAACACTGATAATTTAAGAAGCTCCAAACCATCAATTGTCTTAATGTTGCTGTGTAGATAATCTTTCGAAGTGGGAAATTGTGGTGTTTTGCAAGGGGCTGTAAGAGGACAGGGGAATGATACCAACCTGCAGTCTGTTAATACATGATAAATGAAAACTTTACAGATGAGGACAGTCTAATTTGTTAAAATAGCTACCAAAATATGTTTTAAAACAACAAAAAAAACACAGCTGATTGCCTTGTCATGGTTTTTTTTTTCCAAGTTTTGTTCCACCAATTTTATACAGTAGAAAAACGGGGATACACCTGTGTCTTCAAAGTACTGCAGGAGATTGACTGCAGCAGTGAGTTTTCCCTTTATCACACTTGGCAGTATTTAATTATTTTGAGTTTGCAAAATTAATTTTTTGTAGTTTTTTAAAAACACAAGATAAGGTGGCCATCAGGTATCACCATGGAGAGTGTCAATCATCAACTCGAAATGTAAGGAGGAATTATGTTTCCTGTAATTATCAGTACACCCAAGTGTTATAAAGATGATTATTGAAAATTAATGGAACTGAAGATGCCTAGGTAGTCTGATATCTATTGGGAAGGGACCCACAACTTTAAAGCTCCTTTCAATGTGTAATGTAATGTAATGTATATGTACCTGTAATGCAATGCCACTTTTTAGGAATAAAAAGCTGCAGAAAGCAACCTAGCCTACTGGCATAATTGAGCAGCTCTTTGTAATCATTTTTCTCCTGTACATTTTGAGTTGCTGTATTTAATATGAGATTACATGATGCATTCTTAAGACTTCTAGGAAATTTGAAATTTCCTCCTCCAAAACACTGTGGCTGTCAGTTAAAACATTTGCAACTGAGACTTAAAAATTTATAAGAAAAGGTATCCATGAATGTGAATTAAGTTGGAGTTGATGTACAGGTGGGTCATGATCTGACTGAATGATGGAACAAGTTTGAATGGCTTCCTTAAATCCCATTTTCCTTATTGGTATTCCATTTCCTTGATCTCCTGCTAGGAATGAATAGGTATGGCTATTGGGTGCAGTTGAGAACAGGATTAGACTAGATTATTGCCCTAATCAACAAGGCTGCCATTACTCCATGGCCAGGCACAAACATGAAAAGTAGACATTTGATGGACTGCTACTGAAACCAGTGGAACCATATTCCAGCATTGCTGGGAGTGGGGAAAAATGTGACTGAAACACAAGTTCCAAAACAAAAAAAAATCAATAAGCAAACACTATACTACACTACACTATAATTTGACACCAAGCAGAAACAGTAAATTCTGTGCTACAATACTAGTATTTTTGTGAACAGCAGCACATTTCTTGACTCTAATGTTGGTCGATAGCAAATGGAAGTGTGCAAATAGCTTACTAGTTCCTGACTGAAAATTAAAATATAAAACAGCAACTCAGTATTTCTGTGCTTTTGAGCATATGTGTTTCTTTTGAATTCACTTAGAACACTAACTCTGCACTTTATAGCTCTTTAAAAGGATGTGTACAAAAGTTAGAGGTTGTAGAAATGAGCTAAGGAGAATTGTAAAGGTTATTGTAGGGATTGGTTATTCTGCAATGAAGAAAGGTTCTGCCTGGTTTCATGGGAGAGAAACTATTGAAAGACTGTTAAACTATACCCATTTGCTGTCTCCTAATTCTCATATGATCAGAGAGTTAAGGCCTTGGGCAAGAGATGCAGATGAGCAAGAACTTTTGTTTTTAAACATAGTGACTGGTTATGACTTGAGGCTTGCTACCAATGACATTGGTGGAACTGGCCATGATCAATGATTTCAAAAGGAATTAGATGAGGAAAATGAGTTTGTATGGCTATGGGACTAAATCAGGAAGTGTAACCAACTAGACTGCAGTAAGTCGAGCTGATACAGACTCATGAGCCAAATGGTTTCTTCTTAAGTGACTATGATCTACCTTTTCAAACTATTGAACAGAATTGCTAATATAGAAATGGAGGTAATTACAGAAAACCAAGAGATAAAAGAAGCCAAGACTGTTACCTCCAAGGGGATGAGTAATTGAGAGGAAAATGTTCTGTTTCATGGACTCTCAAACCCACATTGAATAAAATGGTGTTTTTAAAATGACACTAGTTATTGTCAGAGCAGCATGCAAAGTCACTAGCCAACCACACAAGAGTCTTTCCTCTACACCATGTTAGTGATGTAAGTGTTACAGGTGATTTTAATTGGGAAAAGCTAAATAAAACTTTGCATTGGCCGAGAGGTTAAACTCTAGTAATCTAACCCCAGACATTTTGCTAACTATGAAGCGGATCCAACATAGATTTCAAAATTTAACAAGCCTAGAGTCTTCATCAAATCATACAATCCCTACAGTGTGGAAGCAGGCCATTTGGCCTGTCGCTTCCACACTGACCATCTGAAGACAGCATCCACCCCCCCCAAACTACCCTATAACCCAACTTTTCCCATTGTTAATCTACTTAGCCTGCACATCCCTGGACACTGTGGGCAATTTAGCATGGCCAATCCACCTAACCTGCACATCTTTGGACTGAAGGAAGAAACTAGAAGACCCAGAAGAAACCCACACAGACACGAGGAAAATATGTAAACAAATATGTAAACTCCACAGACATTTGCCAGACAGTGGAATCAAACCAGGTCCCTGGCGCTGTGAGGCAGCAGTGCTAACCACTGAGCCACCGTGTCACCTTTCTTCAAATTATACACCTTCTCCCACACACACAGGAGTATAACCCAATTTTGGAAACCACCATATGTTATCACAATGTTGCAACTCGCAATTTAAGGTCCTCTCCTTTATATCTGTGAATAGAACCTCAACTTAATGCCTCATCCAGAGGGCTGCAGTTTCTTCAATTTGGTATTTCCCAACTACTCTGTTCAAATCCTTGTGTGCATTCAAACCCAGGAGGCAAGTGTGCATGTGACTCATCAGAACTGAAAGTGACCACTGTGCTTGCATGTACCCCAGCTCTTCAAAATACAAAACAAGGAAAAAATCCTGAGGATTTGAAAAATAATTGGAAATGCATGCAAATACGTTAGTGTAAAAAAAACAGGTTATATTTTGTCATGATACTTTCATTTGTGTTATTTTAATCATATAAAAGTATATTGCACAAAAAAGCCCAGAATGGCTTTATTATTGGTGCAGTAATACAAGGGAAGCTAAGCTTCTAGAGAAACAAGTGCTTTTAATTCTACAAAAATGAATTTGCTGCATTCCAACTTATCTTAAAAAATTATAAATATTTTTATATATACAGTTTTAAACTATGAAAATACGATTTTTATTTGACCAACTCATTATTTTAATAAAAGAACTGTGTTGCTTCTCTTGGGGGTACGTGTACACTATGTACAGTCACAATGATTCTTGGGTGTGGGGTACGTTCTAATACAAAAACGAAACAAACATTTCAACTTGTGGTGACTGTAGTGCCACTACCCAGTTTCATGATCATTTGCTGGCAATCGTGGAGAGTCCGTTTGTCACCAATCTTTTCCAAAGTGCGGGCTGCCTCTGCCAGCATGCCTACACGCTGGTCTGGAGCAGACAGGAAACTCGGGGGCAGGTAACGACATGCTAACAGAAGAGCTTCAGCATGTTCCCGCCGGCCTGGGTGTGTGTCACATTCACCTATCAAACAGAACAGGAAATACAGAAATGAGCCAGCAGTCTAACTTAGGTGCAGAAAGGCACTCACAGGTTGATTGACGAATTTAAAAAAACTTTCTTGATAGATAAATGAGCCACACAGTGTAATGAGCCAGAAAGCAGAGAGATACCAGTTTAAATTCTCATTATATGGTCAGTTAGCTGATATTATCCGTGGCAGGTACAATTGTTTTCAGTGCTTCTGGATCAGGGAGCAGGTAGAAATAAATGTTAGCCAGATTTCCCTCCTCTGATCAATATTCTCTTGGACCTTGGGTGGAACTATGTTATTCTGAAAGGTTTTCTGATATCCAAGTCCAAGCTGACCTATTAAAAACACCAATTTCAACATGGTATGCCGGACTGCAAACTGTACAGATTGGAAAAGAATGAACAAGACAGATTCCCAGGGTGTGAATGCTGTTAAGAATCACTCTTAGGACTCATTGTGCAGAAGAATGTTTCTGATCATTTGACAGCCAAGTGGCTGAGGAGGCCAAGCATCAAGTCCCAAACCAACTTGAATCCTATATAATCCTTGCACTGAGCACCAACATTCACCTGTTCATGGTTTACTGATTTGAAAAGCAGGTGCAAATGAACTTTTATACCTCACAAACTGATTAAAAGCTTAGCTTAAAATGACTGCTCTTGCAATGCCACTTACCAGCTTTGGGTACGGGGGTTGTGACCCGCCGCCTGAGACTGCGGTCCAATAGCTGATGGGTACGGGTTGGACTGGCTCCTGCCATTAACCTGGCTGTTGCTTCATGCAGAAACACCTGAAAAATAAATTAAGCTAAAACATTATATTTTTAATCAAAATGACTGTGGTTGGTGGTCCTCTCAACATCCCTCACTTGCTCTTCCTCAAGTCTACAAATAACTCTCTCTTTCTCCTCCCGGTCTCATCACTAGATTCAAGTTAAGATTTGTTACACTACCAATGATTCTAGCTCATTCCCCACCCTCTACCTAAAGTCTCTCAACTGCAGAGCTCCTTTCTTTTCTCAAACTGCACACTTAAGCAAAACCTGCACTGTCAGAAATGCTCACTTTTAGATCAGACTTTAAACCACGATCTCATTGCCATTTCACGTAGCTGTAAAAGATTAAAAGATGCACCACTCTCAGCATGGCAATCAAGTGTCGTCCAGATTATATTCTCGATACAAATTGGGACAGAGATGAAGAGGAACTTATTCTATCACAGGGGAGTCGGTCAGTGGAATCCTTTATCACAGAGGGCTATTGAGGCTGGGTTGTTCAGCAGATTCAAGGCTGAGATATGCAGATTTTTAGTCAGAAAAGGAATCAAGTGTTATGGAGAGAAGGCATGAAAGTGAAGTTGAGAATTGTCAAATCAGCCATGCTCTCATTGAATAGCACAGCGAAATGACCTACTTCTGGACTGCATCATACAGTCTTATAGCATTAATTTCCCAATCTACTAGTACAGATGTGAGTATTTCTAACTGAGTATTGCCTGTGACATTCTGAAATATGCTTCTTAGGATGCATTTCCCTCTCGTTGAGTATTTCTTCCCTCAATAGCACAGCCAAGATCAATAACTCAAGCAGTGTGAATTCACTAATCACAATTCCATTACAGAATTCAGCGGTACTCCTTTTGATTTGCAAAGTCCCTTGAAATAAATCCCTTCAATCACCATATCACAACCTACTTACTCTTCGAAGGGCTGGTCTGAATGTTTGAGACAGCTTCCTGAGGCTGCTAAGGTCCTGTTGAAAGCCTCTCAGTTCCAACGGGGATGCCTGGTGCATGCAGTTCACGGGCTGACTCATGTTGATCTGTTGCTGCCACATGCTAGTTCTGGTAATAAGCAAGAGATCACACAGCAACAGCTGCACTGCCTGAAAAAAGAACAAACAATCTCAATCACGTACCTCTTTGTTGTTGCAGTAACTGAAGTGACGAGGGTATTTTAAAGCTCTGTAATTATTTAACCATGGTTCCGAGAAAATCAGTTGAAAAGTTGCCACACTATTTTAGT